TCAAGCACTCAGTGCATTCCTGTTTTCCTTGCTTAATGTCAACTCTAAAATATGTATTTAATCTACGTCAGAAAGTACACTGATTCAGCACAGTAACCAAATTAATCTGGCAGTCAAAAGAATCTTAACTTTTCTAACACCCTGATTTGTGATTTTTTTTGTCAGCATTGTGCTTATACTAAGTTTTACATTCACAATGTACATCTAAGGGTACGTCTAGACTACATGCCTCTGTCGCTAGAGGCATGTAGATTAGACTACCAGACATAGTAAAATGAAGCGGCAATTTAAATAATCGCCACTTCATAGAACCACTAATTACTGGGTACTATATTTCCACTCCCACTCCTGTACTTGTCAATATGATGGCCTGAACCATCAATTTAATACAATTGATGGCAAACCATACATAAGGTGTTAGCCAAAACTCACAGCATGCAAAAGAAGCCTTCTCATAGACTTCAAAGGGCTTTGGAGATTGTGAAACAAATCCAATACTGGACTCAGGGTACGTCTAGACTACATGCCTCTGGCGGCAGCCATGTAAATTTAAATGAAGCGGCGATTATTTAAATCGCCGCTTCATTTTACTATGTCTGGTAGCCTAATCTACATGCCTCTGGCGACAGAAGCATGTAGTCTAGACGTACTAAGTGACTAGATTATGTAATATGACAAAGGACTTGAGCCCTGATGCTTCCTGGAATGCAGGCACATGTGTAACTTTAAGCATGTGACTAATCCACTGAAGTCCTATGTGGCCATTTAAAGTATTTTCCTGGCCTCCTTCATTTTGAATGCCAGATATGTTGTATATAGTTTGAAATGCTCAGTGATGGTTGCTTGAACAATTGTGCAATAATAATGAAGTTTTTAAAAATAAAGGCAATTTTATATAATAAACTTTTTTAAAGAAAAAACTGTTGCTTTAGTTTATTAAACAAAGAGTTGAGCTGGGTTTGGATGATAAATGGTTGAAATGTGAAGGCCATTTTAAATATTGGCTTGTGGGAGAGAGCAGCAAACTGGTTAGAGTTGTTTGTAGTTAAGGCATTGGCATGGAACACAGGCCATCTGGGTCAGTTTCCAGCTTTGTATGACTGGGGTGATTTTCAAAGCTGCCACAGACATTTGGATTCGTGGTGTCCACATCTCTTAGCCTGTTTTGAAAAGCTCACCCTTAATCCTGGTGTGTGTTTACCCATCTGTAAAATGGAGATATTACTTGCTATGCTGCTTAGGCAAGTTGTGAAAATGTGTGTTAGTATCTGGGAATGGCTCAGATTACATAGTATGGAGTGGAAATGCATATAGTGCATTAGACGTTGTACAAACTTGTAAAAGTAACATTTTCAAAAGCACTTGTAACTTAAACCTGATTTACACACAGATTTTGTACCATTAACTATTTCAATGAGTAAAAAAACACCTGAAATAGTTATACCAGTACAATCCAGTGCTAAAAGGTACCTATGCTGGTATAGCTATTTCTACATGAGAAAGAGAACAAGTTCTCTGTGTGAAGCATTTTTCAATCTATATACCTGTCCTCACTAGGGCTGTTATACTTCTTTATATCTGTACAATTAAGCAGTACAACCTGGCTGTGTTGTGTCATAGCCTCTGTCCTGTTTTCAGAAGTGATTTAAGTGCTTCAGACTTCCTCTGAGAAGGGGAACCCTGAGGACAACCATAATAATTAAACTACTTTTTATTGTACACTTGTATACTATATCCTACTGTGGTGATACATTTGGATTTGAAAGGGAACTCTGACACGTTTTGCACACAGACATGCAATGCTCTTGCTGGCTGTGGTAAAAGCTGTTGTCAGTAGCTTTATTGAATTGACTTCATACCATAAAATGCAGTATGTTGGCTATTAATACTACTCTCACATTTAAATAGCAATTTTCATCCCAATGCACCTTCCAAGCTACTCAAAGGCAACCCTTCTTGCACCATTGAAATGCAGCCCCCACTGAATTGGAACACAGAAGCTGTTATATTGCACAGTAATGCCATAAGCTTAGAACAGAAAGTAAGGAAGAATCCATTAGCAAATATGATACCAGATCATTCTGCAAGCTTGGAGTTTCAGTGGAATTGCATAAGAAAGCAAAATTTGTCCCTAAAAGCTTTTTTCTTTTCATTAGGCTAAGCTGATGGAAAGGACTTAAGTATTTCATTCCCTCCTCTAAGGAACATTATTATGCAGGGTGAGATGTTGGCAGCAAGCACTTTAGAAGAACTCATCATTTGGAGTGGGGAGGGATCTGACCAATCCTCCTCTTTGCCTTTCCACACTTATGGATGGAAGTACCTCCTCCTGGCACAACGCCAGTAATCACATGACACGGAGAAAACAGCAACTATTAAAGAACCCATTTACCACAGCTCTAAAAGTTTAGCTGAACTTGTTCAGTGGGCAGAACAGCCCATCGCACCTGCTGCTCAAAGGGACACATGCTGCTTTGTGTCCTCTAATGTTCGCTATGGTGCTGACAACTTCACACAGTCAGAGGGGTGGATTTTGGAACACAAGGCCTTCAGTGTTGCAGCAAATGTTCTCTGCACACAGGCTGGGGTTTGGTGGCCTCATTATCCAAAATTACTGATGCTTAGTTATCGTGCTCAGGCGCATCGGGCATTGAAAGGAAAATTACACAGATCCAGGATGCTGGTTCAGAACGCTTGTCTCCTGTCATCTGGCAATTCCCTTCCTGCTGTTGACTCAGCCCAGCTGGGTTCCCATGTTAATTTTTATTTCCCCCTGCAGATCCGTGCCTCTGGAAGTGGAGAGGCTCAATTTAAACCAGGCGGGTCCCCCTAACATTTCAAGGCTCATGGTTTTCCCTCGACACACAAAGCAAGGCTGATGCAGCCCATTCTTTAAGGGCATCTATTTAAGCAAAAAAGGGGAATCCTGCTCCCGACCCCACTGACTGCAGAGGCAGGTCTGCCCCTGTGCCCATGCAGCCCCCAAGGCTCAGCACTCCTACCGAGGTAGGTTTTTAGAGCACGCCCATCCCCGTGGACTCTGGGACTGCGGCAGGAGGCGCCTGACCCGCCCTGCTGCCAGGGGGTCCCAGGGCTGAGAAAGGGGCAGGGGTGGCCATGGCAAGGCTCAGCACTCCTACCGAGGTAGGTTTTTAGAGCACGCCCATCCCCGTGGACTCTGGGACTGCGGCAGGAGGCGCCTGACCCGCCCTGCTGCCAGGGGGTCCCAGGGCTGAGAAAGGG